AGCATACCAAGGAGCAGAAATTAGATATTCAGGACTAGAGAAGTTAGCATTCGCCCTCATCTCAACGGCTAGGCGCCTGCAACATTACTTTCAGAGTCATACTGTTGTTGTGATCAAAGACCAACCTCTAAAGAGAGTCTTGAAAAAATCAGATGTATCCAGGAGACTCCTCAAGTGAGCAGTGGAACTTGGGGAGTTCGACATTCAATACCAGCCAAGGGTGGCCATCAAAGCACAAGCATTAGCAGATTTTGTTGCTGAGCTTACACCAGCAGAAGAAGAGGAGAATAATGAGGCAAGCGCCCAGGACAGCACAGGTGCCCAGGCATCCAGGCTTGGCACCCAGGCCCTTCCTGGAGACCAACTCTCCTCTCTAGGCGCCCTGCTCTCCCCTCCTAGAGACCAGTTCTCCTCTCTAGGCACCTTGCTCTCCTATCCAAGTGTCCAGCTCTCCTCTCCAGGTGCCCAGCTCTCCTCTCCAGGCGTCCTGCTCTCCTCTCTAGGCGCCCTGTTCTCCTCTTCAGGCGTCCTGCTCTCCTCTCCAAGCGTCCTGTTTTCCCCTCCTAGAGACCAGCTCTCCTAACCAGGTGCCTGCTTTCCTTCTCAGGCGCCCATGTACTCTTAGGAGCTCAGTCTAGCATCCAGGCTCCTAGTGTAATCTCTGAGCGCTCCTCTCTACCACTCTAGAAGCTCTATGTAGATGGTTTCTCGACCAGCAAAGAAGGAGGAGCAGGCCTGATCTTGATCCGCCTCGACGGTACTCCCCTCAAGTATGCAGTGAAGCTTCACTTTACTGCTTCCAACAATGAGGCGGAATACGAAGCCCTCCTCTCTGGATTAAGATTGACACCTGAAATAGACACCCAAAATCTCGTCACTCACAGTGACTCTCAACTGATCGTTAATCAAGTAAAGGGCGAGTTCGAAGCAAAAGGAACTAGAATGCAGGAATACCTCGGCATGGTGAAAAGCTTGATCACAAAGTTTCAATACTTCTAGATCAGTCACATTCTGAGAGAAGACAACATGGCCGCTGATGCACTGGCTAGGCTCGCCTCATCTTTGGGAGCCCCACTAGGAGGACCAACATTCATCGGTCACCAAATCAGACCAAGCAAGTTAGACATGAAAAGCCATAAATATCAACTGTGCGTCGTTGAAGTCAAATTGGATGACCCCAATAAGAGCATACCTCCAAGAAGGTATGTTGCCAGATGACCCTCTAGAAGCCAGGAAACTCAGGGTAAGAGCCTCCAAGTTTACTATTCTGCAAGACACCCTGTACAAGAGAGGTTACTCATTGCCACTATTGAGATGCCTTTCACCTGAAGAAGTTGACTATGCAATGCGGGAGATCCGTGAAGGGGTTTGTGGAAATCACTCAGGAGGACGGTCCCTCGCCCACAAGGCGCTCAGACAAGGCTACTTTTGGCCTAGCATGATGAGGGACGCCCAAGAATTCGCCAAAAAGTGCCACAAATGTCAACGTTTTGCCACTGTGCTCAGGCAGCCACCAGAGGAACTCACGGTCATCATAAGTCTGTGGCCCTTCTCTAGATGGGGCATTGACATCCTAGGCCCCCTTCCTCTCAGTAAAGGATAGTTCAAGTTTGTGGTGGTAGCGGTGAACTACTTCACTAAATGGGCGGAGGCCGAATCCTTAGCGAAAATAACAGATGCAAAGGTCAAATATTTTATTTAGAAGAACCTGGTTTGCCGCTTTGGGATATCCCATACCATTGTAAGCGACAACGCCAAGCAGTTTGACAACAAGCTCCTGAACTCTTTCCGTTCTGACCTTCAAATAAAGTAGTCTCATTCAAGCTCGGCGCACCCGCAGACAAACGGACAAGCAAAAGTCATGGTAAGAACGGTGCTGCGCAATCTAAAGACAAGGCTCGAAAAGGTGAAGGGTCTTTTGGTTGACGAGCTCCCAGGTGTATTATGGGCTTACTAAACCACACCAAGAGCTTCAATTGGGGAGACCCCCTTCTCTCTCGCATTTGGAACTGAGGCAGTCATCCCTATGAAAATCGAGGTGCACTCTCTAAGGGTCCAGCACCATAACCCCGACACCAATGAAGAAGGACTCTGCATCAACCTCGACTTGGTAGAAGAGGCAAGAAAGATGGCTATGGTCCGCAACGTGGAGTACAAGCACCGTATGACAAAGTACTACAACTCGAAGGTGAAGCCTCGTTCCTTCCACCCAGGAGACTTGGTCCTTAAGAAAGTTATTCTCGCTACAAAGGATTCACAGGAAGGAAAGTTGGGACCAAATTGGGAAGGACACTACCTCATAACAAGGGTGGTGAGGCCAGACACTTATAAGATCCAGAATTCTGAAGGGAAAGTCTTACCCCATCCATGAAACGCGAAACACTTGAAGAGGTACTACCAATAACACCTTGAGATAGTAGAAAAGTTGAGGACTTAGTTTTATTTTTTGTGCTCTTTTGTGGGGCTATTACCCAATATTGCTTTATATAAGCAGAAAAATGAATAAAATTTTAGAGATTTACTTCAAAAAGAACTTTGCATTTTCATATTCAACTTCTCAAACTTCAAAGTAGCATCGGCGACAAAAACCACTTTTACAAAAGTATGGCTACAAAATGTCTTTTCAAAAAAAAAAAAAAAATCCAAAAAGTCTCCAGCACGCAAACTACTCAAGGTCGTCATCCTTCTCCTCATCATCCTCGGCATCGTCAGAATCTCTGCCACTGTCATTTGGCGCCTCAGTTGGTAATCCAAAGACGTCAATATCGGCAAAAAATTTTCCCCGAAAGTCCTCATAACCGTCAATGAAGGCGTCTGCAAGGCCACTCTCAAAGTCCATCTTAACTATCACAACCCTCTCCTCAGCCTGGGAAGCCCTCTCCTCGGCCTATGAAGCCCTCTCATGAGCTGCTTTCACCTCTGCCTCTGCGGCAGCCTTTCTGAACATGGCCCGTTTACGGACCTCTGCAAGCTCAGCCTCGAGCTTGGCCGCCCTCCCCTGGGTCGTCGAAAGCTCAGCCTTACTGAGCGTGGCCCTCTCACGGACCTCAACAAGCTTAGCCTCGAGCCTGGACACCCTCTCATGGGTCGTCGAAAGCTCAATCTCAAGACCAGCCGCCCTCTCACGGGTTGCAGCAAGGTCAACCTCAGAAGCCCTGCCAGAAGCTTCAAGCTCAGTGATCCTCCTCTAAGCAGCAAGGAACTCATTTTGCACCACTTCATGATCGAGCTTCAGCTTGTGATAAAGGAGAGTCCTTGAAAGTAAACACATAGCTGCAATGGAGGCCTGAAGATAAATAAAAGGCAAAAGAATGTTAGACACTTATGGAAAGGAGAAAAGAGAGAAAATAAACTCTTACGTGAGCCTAGCTTTCTAGGAAAGAGCTAAGAATTCCCTCCGTACCCAAGGCACCAATCTCATCCATATCCTTCTTGCACAAAAATAACCCAAGTCGATCCTTGATGACCGACACATTACCTAACATGGAGCAGATATGAGAGGGTACTCCGCTAGGATTTCCCATAGGAGGAGTGGATGAATGAGGGGTAAAAGGTATGGCTAGTAAACAAGACTCTTTAGTGGAAGGTCCAATTGAGGGAGTCTTCGACTGAGGAGGCGCCCCTGGAGGAGCCACTTTATGGGAAGGTGCCCGAGGTACCACTTGAGGAGTTAACTGAGGAGAGCTCGCCTCAGGCGGCACAATTAAAGAAGTCACCTGGGAGGTATCCCCCGTCCTCGCCACCTTAGAAGGAGGGGAACTCCTACTAGAAAGACGGGACCCAATCATCTCCCTATCTACTGCTCCAAAGAAAATAAAAGTGTTACCTAGATGAAAAGTACCAAGTGAAAGAAGAGGGTGCAAAAGAATCAACATACCTTTCATTTTCAAGGGGGGGCTGCTAGACATTGGAGAGGGACCACTGGCACCAACGGAAGAGGAACCAATAACTCCTCCATCCCTGGGCATGAGAGCTCCAAAGTCCCTTGAAGAGTAAGCTTTCACAGCGTGCAGCTTCTATTCTTGGTCTGTGGAGAGCACAGGAGCACCTGTAAGGAATATAGTGAGAACACAGTCTACAGAGAATGGGGTAATAGAGGAATAAGAATGTAAGGCGTACCAACTTTCTTTGGAGCTTCCCATCGTGTCCAACACCCTATTAGCATCTGAAGCCCATTCTCCACCAACAAATATGAAGCGAGATTTCCAGCTATGACATTTAGAGGGTAGTCCGGTAATCAACTTATCTCCCCTCGTGGTAAAATAATACCAGCCTCGGTTAGGAGAAGGAATTTCACTTGGGTAATAAGCTACATGAAATACCTCAGGAGAAGCATCCTCATGATGCACCCTCTTCCATAATGCTAAGAAACTCAACAACACTTTCTAACCGTTGGGCGCCAACTGCCCGGGTGTCAGGGAAAAATAGTTCAAAATGCCACAAACGGAATAAGGCATTGGAAACCTAAGCCTAGCCTCAAGAACCTCCTTATAAATAGCCATGTCACCAGAGGAGTCATCGCAAGTAGGTTCACCCATCTCGGCTCGACGACATAGCACAGTCGGAGAAATGTGATAGGTGGAGACAATCCGTAAAATATCAGCGTCTGAATTTGAAGTGCTAGAGATAGAACTTACCTTGGACCCATCATCATCAAGAGCTACCTTACCTCGATGCTTTTTGACGCGAGGGCATAAAGCTTTTTCTAAGACAGAAAGGTCTCTAGGATAATGATTTTGAGAAACAACGCTTGAAGAAACTTGAGCAGGCTGCTCGTCCAACGCTGCCCACCCTGTTTGCTCACCTAGGGTGCCCAGCACAACAGGTTGTTGGCTCGATCTGCTCAGCGCGGCAGGCTACTCGTCCAGGCTGTTGGCCCGATCTGTTCAGCGCAGCAGGCTGCTCTGTCCGTCCAGCCTGTTCACCCAGGCTACTCAGCACGATAGGCTGCTCGCCTAGGAAGCCCGCCTACACTGTCCAGACCTGCACCCCATGTGCGCTCAGTAGTCCCCGTTCCTACATGCCCAGCCTTGCTCCCAGTCTGCTCGCTGCTGCTCAGATCGGAGTCCTAAACAACACACTGCACTCCCAAACGGGCCAAACCAGCGCCCTCTCCGTGCCTGCCGCCTGCCGCCTGCCGTGAAAGCCACATGCCCACCTAGACCACTACTCAGCCCGCCTCCCTCTCTCTCAGCTTCTTCCTCTTTGAGCAGCGCCCAAGGTGCCCCATCCTCAATGCTTTCTTCGGCCACCACCGTACCAGCAACCGCCTTATTATCTCTTTCCATGTCGGTTGCTCCATCATCAGAGCTCCCCATTATCTCACTCCTAGACAATAAATGTTTATGAGAACGCACCTCAAGAACAAACTAGCCTTGGGTCTCCAAGAAATCTCAAGAAAGAACACCCTCTCAAGATTGTGTGAAGTGGGTAAAATGAAGAAGTAAGCCTTTATTTATACATAGGGTTTCTTGGAATCAAGGAAAAAACCAAAAAAAACCCCAAATTGGACCCTAGGGCTTTTCAAAAATTCAAAAAAAAAAAAAAAATGAAGGGAAGGAAGGAGGTTATATAGTCAATAGGATTCTGCAAGCAAAAGGAGTTCACTAGAAGGGATGTGGTTGCCGATCAAGAGAAGTTTTCGAAAAATTTGGATTTAAAAAGGTCCATACGCTATTTTGACCGTAATTTTTGATCTGTAACTCCAAATGGGGCCCATAATATGTCAAATCGAAGCTCTCCAAGAGCTCTACAAAAGTCACTACCAATGGCAATGAACGGCGCCAAAAAAAGCCCAAAAAAGGCTCGGAAGTATATGTTTTAGCCTCCCAAAGTTTTTTCAATTTTGCCGTTCAATCGAAAATCCAAACTCAACCGAATGTCCTCCTTTCAAAGTTTCTTAAACGCAGGGCATTGAGGGTCAAATGATGGGTCAAGATTGAGGGCCCAACTCATATTATAAGCCCGGTCTAAATTAATGACCCGATTCCAAGAGTCCAAATCTATAAAGATCCAGTAGGCCCAATGAGACTCAGCCCCAATCAAGCTCATCAGGGAATAACACCACCAAGAAAGCATCTGGTGAGGATAGGAGAGGCAATCCTCGTAGCTTGGAGAGAATCAACCTCCCCCATCCTTGCCGGTTGAGGAGAGGAGAGGTCGAGGAGAAGAGAAGTCGCCAAGGGATTTAATTATTATTAAATGGCCCCAACTATGATTGTCAGACTAGCTATACAATTACTACACAGATGACTATAAATTATAATCTCCCTCAACACTTGGGGGACATCTCACAAAATCAAAGCTCCTCTCTTCTCTCTTGTAATTCTCTACTCTCCTAACACACTGGAGTTAATAAAATTCCCGATGGACTTAGCCTTTGAAAGTGGACGTAGGTCTTGTTGATCGAACCACTATAAACCTTGTTCTCTTTCTTCCTCTACTTATTTTATTGTATTTTATACTACTCACTTAACTAGTGGTGTGCAAGCTAATTTGTGCATCATCAATTTCGGTCAACAACCTCTTCTTTATCGAGTCCTAATAATCCCAGACAACCTTTTATCAGTCTTAGCATATCTTTGACAACCAAAACTTCTTTTGGGATGCCAATCATTTCATCTATAAAACAATCTCTCTCTCTCTCTCTCTCTCTCTCTCTCTCTCTCTCTCTCTCATCTTTACTTTTAGTTTTTATATAGTTGATGAAGTTTCAAGCGAAAAATTGTATCTGTTGCACACTCCTACCAAAATGATTTTTTTTTTTTTTTTAACAATGTTCAATCGTTGTTATTGTTAAATTGTTAGTGAGCTTGAATATTGGATAGAATCTGATACCAATCGAATGAAAATAATGAATTTGATCGACAAATTCATTGTAATTACAGTATTATTCTGATTTTGAGTTGAATGTCCTGACATTATCAAGGCGTATCTGTAGTTATTTTCGGAAATACAAGGCTCAAATCTCTTAGCTTAAAAGAAACGTATTTGCTTCTTACCATTTTCCACCAGATTGATGAGATGGTAATAATTGACAAGATCACAAATAATTTTGAATGGTGTCCAAATTTGTTGATTTGATTTATTTCAGTTCTTAGATTAAAAATAGATTCTATTCAATATCAACACACAATTTACACAATTGCACTAACAACTTAGGTTAACAAATTGGTAGAAGTTACTTTTTTTTTGGCTGTGAAGTAGTACAAGTTACTTACTCAAAAGCAACTGTACCTTTGTTTGGCAATTACTCAACACTATGTTTTCTGCAATAGGAATGAAATGCTGCACAGCAGTGTCTTCCACCATCTGACCCTCATCCATGCTTGCTAACTTTTTACTCATTTTGCTACTTTTTCCTCTCTCTCTCTCTCTCTCTCACACACACACACACTCATATGTGACAAGTGGTTTCAAGTTCATAGTTACAGAAACATGAAGACACTTAAATTTGAGGGTTCCTTGGACTTGAATTGTGCAGAATAAAGCATTATCACTTCTTCCAGTGTAAAAGATTTTGAAAGCTGCCATACTATTATTTTGGCTCATTTTACACTCATGGAATTTGGATGATTTTGTGTGTACTTTTGCTTTTCATCTTTTTCCATATATTAGTATTCTAAAATCTATTAGCCAATAACTTTTCTTTCAAGTCATCTAGCAAAAACTATGGGTTATAGGAAAAGATTCAAAACTTACCACACACATGGTTACTTTGAAATTAATTACAGCACTCTGAACCATATGATGGCAAGGGCAAATTTTGGACATCTATGATGGGCAAGTGTATGTTACACATGCGTCCGACAATCAACCTCTACAGATTGAGGTAATACTGTTTAGATTTTGGATTACGCTAAAACACAGGAGTCTTGTACAATTGACACCATGCCCCTGGGGTTTTCGAGAATTAATTCTCGATCAATTGCAAGTTAATTGCAAGATTGTTGATTGTAAATCTTGCATCTTCATGTATGAGACTGTATTTGAACTTTACTGTTATTTTCCATTAATCTGTGACAGGGATGGCTTCAACAACTGCCCCTCCATATCTCATGGGTCTTATCTTCTAAAAATAGCCCAACAGAATATTCTCACAGTGGCTTTAACCAAGTTGTAGTACTCTGCTTTCTTTACACTTTAATGCCAGTGCGTGGCTTCACCTCATGCCCAGTTCTTCTCCTTGTGACTCTCCCTGGTCACATGAACGCCTTAAGGTACAAGCAAAATTTCCAGTTTTATGATTTTTTTTGGTTTAACGGTCAAGACTGTTCAGACCAGTTTACGCGTACTTTGACTAATCTCCTTCCCAATCAGATTAAAAGCAAACCATCCACGCCACTACTAGGGTTTTATGATTGTTGATATCACAAGTTTTGCATATTAACAATTGTCAAATGTCGTCCGAGGGAGGGGTCGTGTCCAAATTTATTGTTTTAATTTCAATTTTGATCGGTTAAATAAGTGGTGGTAAAAATTCTTATTGTTAATATCCTCCAACAATTGAGGTCTCAATGTCATTTCTCCAATGTGAGGTTATACCAATAGAATTATACTTCATATCAAGGGGTACATGTGAAATTTATCCAATAAAATACAATTAACCAATAAGGTATATCAGATATGAAAACTAGAAGAATTATTATCTTGATGTTTCAAGTTTGACTTTTATAAGAGTTCTTTATTCGATACATATGAATTGAGGTTACTTACACGTATCGTACTACAAGATATATGATTGCGGCGATTCTTCATTATCCCAATAAAACTTTATATGACAATTCCAAGCTGCTTCAAATTAAACAATGCTTGGTGTCCATCAATTTATACACTTGCATAAGATGTGCTTTCTGTCTTTGGGCCCCCTCCTCTTGTGACTTAATGCTTTTTTTTTTTTTATCTCCTTTCCTTTTCAAACTTGATAAAAAAGATTTAAAAATTTGGAAAAGCAAAGACTAGCCGTTGGGAACATTCCCATCACTTTAATTTTTTTGATTGGAATGGACTCAAAGGCACCAACCCAACGTTCTTCTAGGCAAGGCATGAGATTCAAAGCAATTATAAGGACACCGACACAAAAAAAACAGACTACTTTCCCTTTTACACAATCCGTTAGTATACCTTCCCTTCCCTTTCTCTACCCCACTTGGTACTACCACCTTCTAATGCATTATTGATAATTTTGATAAGGAAAAATTGTGGGAAAAAAAAGTAGAAAAAGAAAGTTGCTTTATATTACTTTGCATTTAGAACCTTACTTTATCGCATGCATGTGTATTTGTTACGTGTTGGCCGGTCATATCTACTGTATAAGACTCTGATTTTTTTTGTCAATTCAGTGAGACTAACTATTGGATTTAAACTCATGACAAATCTTTTGGGTGGATCATTAGAACTTTCCAGTGCTAAAGATTCAATTCCAAATATTATTTTCTTTCTATTTTGGATATAATAGTTTTCTTATTGACTAAATCAATCCATGTGTTAGTCTAATGGGAAACCCTAAAAAAATGGCTTCAATTTCTTCATATTGTTGGTGATTATCACTAGAGAAATGTGTGAGATCATAATATATTCTCTCAAGTTCATGTCATTATGCAAAATGTAAAAAATCTTCAATTGTTATTTTAATTATTGTGAACACATGATAAGACCATATATATGCTTGTTTGGTTATTTTTTTTTTTTTGGTTCAACGAGCTGGGGTAACTTATACGCACCTCGACTAATTCTCTCTCTGGTCCGGTCAAAGACATGTCATCCATGCCGGAAATAGGGCATTTATGAGAGATAAATTCCTCGTGGGCTAACCCCAAGGAGTTGTTAAAATTCAAACCCAACATTCCTATTGTGGCATGCCTTTTCTCGAATAAGAACAAGTATTCGCGTAATGGCACCAACTATAAGTCTATTATACATAAAAACTTCTTTACATATTTTGCAACCATGTTGTTTTCTTGATTTTATGTATCGCATATAGTGTTTATGTTTTATAAATTCAGTCCTAAACTCTGATAATTTAACCAAAATGTGTTAGACAACTGATAGCCAACAACATATATCTAGTCAATATTTTCATAAAAATGATTAATTATTTCCTTATATATCATAGCATAACCGTTGCAGAGATTTATGCAGTGGTCATATTACTCCAATGTAATTTGAACGTCACATATTTGGTTCGAGTCAGAAAAAAAATATACGGTTGCTAAAACACACCAATGACGAGTGTCTATTTGTTATCTAGTTGAGTTGCCAATTAGAAAAGAACTTGAGAATATTGCTTTGCTCGTTTTGCTTTTCTTTGAATCTTTCTACACATCCTT